GTCACTGTCATCGATATCATTAATGTGTATGTTCCCAATGTGCTAACGTGTGCTAAAGTGTGTGTGTCGCTAATGTGAGTGTGTATGGTAGCTTCGAATTCCTTTTTTGACTATCGTCAGGAGGAAGGAGCTAAGTTGTACGTGGCTCAGTTGAAGGGAGGCGAGCGGGTAAGCGGGAAGTTGGCGGAGCTGGATGTGGTCGAGGTGATAGTTCGAAGCCAGAAAGCGGGCGAAGACGTGTGGCAGGTGGGTTTCCAGGAGGACCATGGTAGTCCATTGAGGAGTCCTGATGAGAATCCCACCTTGTTTTTGCAATGGGTGAATCACGTGTGTAAGTTGGTGTTAACTACGAAGGCAAATTTCACGTTGATTCAAGGCGACCGGCGATTGGTTAATTTTAGGTCGTCGGTGCGTAGACAGCTGAAAGCGGTGGACGGGTACCTGATTCCTGGTTATCTGAAGAACATTTTATGGACTCGTGATGGCAAGTTGGTGTGGACCTTTACGCCTAGATCGTGTCTGGTTTTAAACTCCGCGTTGGATCGGTACATGTCTGATTTGTGCCGAGAGCACGTGGAGCTGCAAGATTTGTCCCGGATGAAGGAGTGGTTGGTGAAGAAGCGCATCACTGTCTCCACCAGTTACGCCCCTGACAATGTGTACAAGCTCGTCTCGTTGCCAACAGATGTGAAGCCCACAGACGAAATTGAGATCATGGTGAGGCAACACTCTGGTGAGCTTGTTAAGAAAAAGCAAAGTCACTTGGACTACTTGAAGGAGCGGTACTCCGGCTGTAGACAGCTTTTCGACCGCAGCTTGGAGCAGAGCCAAATGGTCGGAGTGGCTTTGATGGGCAAGGCTCGCAAGACCGCGAGGACGTCGAGAGTCGTGTTCATCCCGGCGCCCTTGTTGCAAATTGTGAATGTACAACCTTCTGATTTGAGCAAGGCTGCGAGAGTGGACGTTACTCGGGGGTCGCAAAAAAAAGCGCATGAAGCTTGCGGCGACATCCGGGACTTGATTAGAGATCTGAGTGACCCTGAGATCTTGCAAACGTTCGACACCTTTGGGCTCAATTTGAGAGCAAATCCCATGATGATAGAAGGAAAAAATAACATCAAAACGTTAGTGACCGTTCAGGTACCGTGCGACCAGCGTGGAGGCGACCGTTCAGGAGGGACAAAAATGTCATTACAGCTGGACGAACAGTGTAACTTCCTAAGGCAGTTTACTCATGCAAGTCATTCAACGCCGCCGACTATAAGTCGATGGATGCTTGTCATCAAAAGCGAACCGAGGCTGCATAACATAGGACCGCAACTGATGCAGGATCTCAGTGGCTTGGCAAGGCAAAGAAATTGGAATTGGAATTATGATGGGTACGAGTCTGGTTGGGTGATCTCCTTTATGTCTGACCAGGATCTGAACGATAAAGTAGAGGGGATTCTGAAAAGTTTCCATAAGGACAAAGTACCGAGACCAGACATCATTATAGGCCTTATTCCGATGAAGGACGAGTATGATTATACCTGCATTAAGCGTTTCGCTTATCGGCTTCAATGTGCTTCTCAGATAATAACTGCCGATTTGCTCGAACGTTTGCAAACAAAAGCCTTTTGGAAGGTCTTATCCGGGATGTGTGGTAAGTTGTTACCGAGTAGGGAAGGTAATCACGTGGTGTACCCTCAGCCGTGGTCGTTGGAACAAGGCCCACTAGACGCTTGTAGAAATACCACCTGCATAGCCATTTGCACTTATCGACAGTCACAGCAGGCCTCAGGCTCCGGCACCATGGGATGGGGAATCACTGCGACAACTAACAATGAAGCGTCTGGTCTTATTCAAGACTTCGGCGAGCTGCAAATGGCTGATAAGGGTGGCATTCTACCGCGGCTGGACACGTTGCTTACCAACATCTTCCACCGGTTAATATATCAGCACCAGAGAAAACTCGATAACGTCATCATTTACAGAAGAGGGATCAGCGAAGGACTTATTGGACGACTTCAAGCTATTGAAATACCCGCGATATACAAGGCTATGAGTAATTGTCTGGGGGAGCAAACATTCGACCAGGACACACGGACACTCAGATTAGCCTGGCCAGATTTCTTTAAAGAAAATGGAGACTACAAAGTCTTTGTTAAGTGCAGACCGGCCAAGACTGTGAAACGAGACATTCAAGGAACTGAGCGCAACGCCAAGCAAGACCGAACAGGCCAGAAGGACGAAACAAGGAAGCAGGACGGATCAGATAAGCAGGAGGCTAAGGACGAGAGCATATTACCCAGTGCAGAATCCAGTACAAGTTCTCTTACCGAGATTAAAGTTGGTGCTGAAGCGAAGGCTGAGACACCCAAATCCGAAGGTGACAAGTATTCCGAAGGGGCCGCAGGGATCGAAGGGGCCGCAGGGATCGAAAGGGCCGCAGGGATCGAAAGGGCCGCAGGGATAAGGATGATGGAAGCTCGGTTGAAGCGCATGCGTCGGGAAGATAACTCAAAAGTCGCTTATTTAGACTGTCTTATACCCGACGGTTTAGAACCAGATCTCAGTGAGCCTCCGCGAATTGTAGCTCCGAATTCGACGAAGCAAGTGACCATGCCGCAGAAGCCTAAATTGTGCTACGTCATCACCAATCGGTCGAGCTGCTCCTCGCTTTTGACGTTCCAGAATGATCGACAAATGCTAACACCGGGTGGTACAGTTATCGACCGGTATTTCAAATGCATTCCCAGACAAACCAAGATCAGAGACGAATTCTATATTGTTCCTGGCTCCGGACCTGTCGGATTCGCGTCACCCGTACATTACATCGTTGTTCAAAGTAAGGTCCTTCCCTCACACTAGCCGTAGCCACCGCAGCTGAACCTTGGGCTTGGTCCTCACACACGTTACTTTCATTGGTCGCAGATGACTTGGAAATGTCGCTAGATGAAATATCTGATATGACTCTACGACTTTCCTTTCTGTACTTCAATCATCAGGGATCTAACAGAACACCCCACATCGTCCGGATAGCAGAGTCCGCAGCGGAACAGGCACTCACCGTTTATCGGAACATTGACGACTTGGTTAAAGAGGATTTGAAAACTCTTTATGGTCACCCACGGACAGCGGAGGTCAACCGGCTCAAAGACACTGCCATCTTTTTGTAAGCAGAAGATGCTTAGGTGAGGGAAGTTGGCTTAATGGAAAGGTGAGGGAGGGGAGTCGATCAGGCAGGACGTGCTGCTGGCAAGCAAGGAAAGCGGCATAACATTCTGTAGAACTGTGTGTAGAATTGTTAGAATGTGCAAAAAATGGATGCAACCCATCCATCACAACTCACCCATCACAACTGAGCGTCGACATACAGGCACACGCCCCGAGTGGGTTGCAGGCACACGCCCCGAGTGGGTTGCAGGCACATGCCCCGAGTGGGTTGCAGGCACAACTTCCTG